AGTTGGTTTATTAGATGTTTGAGCTAAGTAACACTTGTTCCAGATATTTGATCTTAAATGTTTTATCTGATTGTATTGTGTATGAACATGACATCGTAGAACACTTAAACCAATAATGACCATAAGACAAGGGAGAGTAATAAAAAAAGTTAGCTATTGGATTTCACGAACATAGCAGGGGAGCATTTTCCCCATTTTCTTCGCCATCCGTTATATGGGGATTTAAGATTGAAGACATTGAGAACAATGTCTAGTTTAAATTTGGGGGTGGAAAACGTAAGTTTTCTTTTATTTTGTGTATTTTTTTATGTGTTTTATTTATTTAGATAAAAAAATTTAGAACTATTTTCTTTTTACGTGCTTGTGTGAGTTAGTTAGCCTGACTGACAATGATGAATATATTGAATTATGAATTGATCTATGAATATTGAATATGTTACATACTTAATGTTAATTTTTACTTTTCCATGTGAAATTGATATATATTGAGACGGGAATTAAGTTAAGCATTGTGTAGGAATGAGTTGATTTCATAATTGGATAGGTTGAAATAGTGTACTATAGATGCTAAATCCAAAACCACTAAATTTTACATCTTTAGACCCAATTTAAAATAGTTTGGAAAGATTTCATTGTTGTAGGAAGATATAAAACTGTGTGAAAGTCTCAAGTTAGAAGTCGGTTTACTTAGATATGTATTTAATGAGGGACAATGCACTAATCAAAGCAAAAAAATATATATATATTTTATTTGAAAATTTCTTTTTGTAGTCTTTATAACTCGAGTTATTAAGCATGTAAGGGTTTTAAAACATGTTGCCCTAAAGTCAACTGATTTGGGAGTCATCGACCTAAAACTTATCACAGGGGGTCATTTTAAAAGTTTAAGGAAGAGAATACTGCAAATAAAGAAAAAAGTGATAAAAAGAAGAAATTTGAGGAAAAAAATTAAAAAAATAGAAAAAGCATATGCACGACACAAAAGACGCACCATATGTTTTGATTAAGTTCTAAACACTTGTTTAAGAAAATTTGACTTTTGATGTGGGATTATTAGCCTAGTTGAGTTCTGGAGATTGAAGCAATCAAATTGTGGAGAATTTTTGTTTATGAACATATTGACTTGCAATCAGTGAGATTTACCTAAATTGAGGTGGGGATAGTATAAAAAAACAACCTTAGATCATACACTTGAAAGGAGCAAAAAGAACAATTTTGGGGGTGTGCGAATCTCACAAGTGAGGACAAGAACTTATTCGACTATTAAGGGTCAGAAATGAAACAACTTATGAATTCATAATGCTATACTTAATTCTTCACACACACATCGACTTTGCATTGGAAAAGTAGACCTTGATTTTTGTATTGTGATTTTGAAACTGTGATTAGATTCAATATCATGATTTCAATTTTAAGAGAAAATACCAAGTTAGCTAGCTAAATATTCTGCATGCTTGTGTGTTTGTTTTAAGTTAGGTTAGGATTTTGTTTGAAGGCAAACAAATGTTAAAGTTTGAAGGTTTGATAAGTGTATTTTATACACTTATTTGGGACTTTAAATAATGATATTTTGTAGTTCTTCTTATGTAATATAGCCTAATTCATGTTATATTATGTCAAATATGAAAAACTCTATGTTCGATGAAGAATTGGAGAAAAGAATGCAAAAATAGCGAAAAGTGCGAACTCCTAAAGTCGAGGACTAAATTACAAACAATCCATAGATGAGACAAGGGACAAAATGAAGATCAAAGATGCTAAGGATTCATTTGAATACAATTGGAAGATAAACGAATAAAATTACAAGGTAAAATGGCTCGATCATATCAAATACAAAGTTCGGAGACTAAAATGCAATACTTCAAAAGTTGAGTCGGATTGCAAAACGATGATTCAAGAATACCAAGAATCAAATGGAGTAGAAGAAATGGGATGAGAATTCGTTGCAAATGATCAAAATACACACGTGAGAAAGTTCAGCAAAAATTGTACTATGCTTAAGCATACGCCTGCATGCCTTGCATATACGAGATTCCAAAAATCCAGTCAAGAAACCAAAACATGTGTTCTATGAGTACACACAAAATGATACGCATGGTTCAATTCTGGGAAAAAAAATTTGTTTCCTTATTTTGTTCAGAAAACTTTTGGTATGCAATCTTTTAGCACCCTATTTATACCAAGAGCCGTCCAAAACATGGGAGACCTCCCTTAGACCTAAAAATATCTATATTCTACGTATTTCGGAGGTGAAGAACAAGACTAAGCATCAAGATCAAGGCGGATTATACAAACTTATTGAAGAATATTCATCCATTTTCAAGATTCAAGCCAAGGTACTGGATTTCTTCACTTTCTTCATTATTTCTTCTTTTTGGGTGATATTTTTCTAGTATTTCTTGTATAATTTAATCATTAGAATGCTGAGCTAGTTTTTTCTATTGTATTGGATGAATGAGAAACCCTATTTTATTATTATTATTATTATTATTATTATTATTATTATTATTATTATTATTATTATTATTATTATTATTATTTGTTTATTTCAATTTAGAACTTTAATTTAGATATTTCTTGATTGATTTTGCATTTTCATTGCACTATTTAATTGTTTGGCCATCAATTGAATAATTAGTTACTTGTTGTAGTATAGTAATACTCACAATAAATTTAGAACGCGATAAAATCAACACATGAACAATTGGTATTAAGAATAATATCTATAGGATATACAATCTTATAGATAACCTAATCTTAATGTATGATTTTCATATGAATTCGGATTAGGTATAGGATCAGATCGTGTTAATCATAGGTTGATGTATTTTGGAAAAGAGCATTTAACATATTAGCGTTAACGGTTGTCAAAATACATGAAATTAACTAGATTATTAATCGATAATTGATATAGATGAAAATAGGAGGAATCATGAATCCAATACAAGCAGACACATTCGATAAAATCAAAATTTACTTGCTTTGTTAGTATAGATTAGAAGCAATATAAACAATCACAAAATCACTATTTTCGTGTCGCTACTCACTCGAATTTAATACAAACTGTTGAATTATATTTTGAACCTTATTTCTCGTGGGAGCGATGAACTCGAAACTCATTATTTCTATTACTTGTATAACGATCTCGTATGCTTGCGAGTTTCACGCGAACATAAGCATACTTATCATCTTTCGAGTTGATTACTTGAATTCTTTATTGTCCTTCTCACTCTATTATTTACGTCTCTTGTAAAATATAACATTTTCGTTACTCATAAACCATTTCTTTTTTAAACTTGATTCCATAGCCTTTGATTTTCCCTGTCTTGTCAAACTCGTCTGAGTCGAGACAAATGCCATAGAAGGAGCTCTTACTACTCTAGACTAGGTTGCACATTCATAGGCTGCTCGTTGCATTACTATTAAAATTATACAAGCTTGTCTATTTTGGAGTTTTAATTTTGAATTCTAATAGTAGTGTAGAATTTTTATTTTTTATTTTTTTCATTTAAATCTTTGATTTCTAATAGTAGTGCCGATAAGAATTTGAAGACATCATTTGATAATGGATATGATTTTCCTTGTTTATTTTTTAATTTAAATTGAGAATATGATTTCATATTATATCTATCTCATAATTGAGTATTTGAATTCGTGAATTGTAGGTTTTTCCAACAATATTTAACCACATCTATTAAAACATGATATAGACGGTAAAGAATTGATAGCCTATTTGGAATTGGGTATAAATTGTTCACCAGAGTTTACACCCCATCATATTGACATGAATGAGAGAAGTCCATGAAGAAATAACTATTAAATTTGAAAATTTGTGTAAAAAGATGGATAGACAAACAATGGAGAGTATGAGGTGGGCACTCAAATCGTAGACATCAAGAAAATCATAAGAATTATAAGTAAAACAAACAAATTAATTTGAACTTCATGCCACCTAGAAATACTCCTAATTATCCTTTTTCAATTGAGGTTTCTTCTTGATAATAAGTTGAAATGCAGCTTCAAAATTGCAATAGCTTTGTAGACGTTGGCTAAACAACTTTTAACTTTTGTTTAACATATTTGAACAGTCCTAAAATCCTAACCGCGTCCTAGATATAGAGAGTAAAATTTCAATCTTAATCAAAACAATTCGTTACATGTTTCACTTTACGAATTATGAATCTTTAACAATTGAAAATCTTGACAGTTACTCAAATTTGAAAGGAATTCTTTCTTGCCAAAATTCGTGACTTTTGGCCGATTACGAAAACTATTTCGAGACCATCAGCTTTTCTGGACCTGTTCCGCTACTATAGAAATAATAAGAAGGATTTGGGCAGAAGAATTTTCTGATTAAAAAATTCAGCCCACTTAAAATTTATTGATCAGAAAATAAAAAATAAAGTGAAAAAGAAAAATTAACGGAATGTGCAATAGAAACTTGAGACTAATTAGCAAGATAATGCTTGGCTAAGTTTCACAAGTTTAATTTTATATTCACTCGACTGCTAGACCTATGGTAAAGTGCAGAATTGCACTATATCGAAAAGAAAGATTACGTGTTTTCAAGCTTACATCTCTCTACTTTCTTTCTATTATAACACAAAACTCGCCATAATATTTTTTATGCGGGATAAAAATTACTTATAAGAATTTTTCGAAGTACCCCTAAAATTACGTCGAATTATGAATATGAAATGTATATTGTATATTAAGCTCTACACATCCAACGTATACTAGGGATTAAATTTTTTAAAACTTGTTTTCAACAATAAATTTTGTGAGATCCACAACTTTTATCAACTTTTAAATTTCATATTTCATCAATTTTTATTAAAATTTACTAAAAGTTTGATTTTTAGCTAAACCAAATAAGGACATAATACACTGGGAAGGAGAGAAAAGAGAAGAAACAAGAAGCATAATTTGGCATTGAACAACAAAGAACAATACAATATACATAACATTAATCCAAGTTTAGTTAGAAAATAATGTTTCACAAATCTCATTAAAAACATCAAAAATAATTCCATGATAAGAAACTTCATTCAATGACCAGAAACAGTGCAACAGCTTCTCAAGATCATTGCCTCCAAATATCTGCTTCTCCACAATCATTTCCACCATTGATGCCATAAAATCACTGCGTGGATCCTTTGAAATTTTCTCCATTGCATAACTCTCTTCAGTCCAATCCTCCACAAGTCGAAAAGAATTCGTTGTTCTTCTACGTGGATTAGTCTTTCGCATTTTCGGGGAGGTTTTCTGCTGATATTTCCTGGAATCACTGTAGTAAATCTCAGTTGAAATATCGGAAACTTCAAAACCAACTACAGGGACAATTCTGCTCTTTTTGCTGGTTTTTTGCCCCTTTGGAGCGGATTTAACAGGGTTTTGAACTGTTTTACAGTTATTTTTGGTGGTTTTCTGGCTGCATTGATCAGTGAATACAGTATTATCAATTCTCCGGCTTGATTTAGTAAAGGACTCACAGGAACCTGTAGATGAAAGGCTAAAAAACTTGTTTGTTTCTGCATCAGCTTCAGTTTTTTCCTCGCTAAACCACCCACTGTTGGATGAAGAACTGTGGTTTATAAACTTCTTGGAACTTTCTTTGTCCTTGCCTTTCACATTCAAACCCGAAACTGGCGTCACAGGAGGACACCTTCTTCCATGTGTATCAGAACCCAAAAATAGGGTCTTTTTAGGATTCTTCAATTCATTCTTTGGTGGCTTTTTGAAAGAAAGTTCATGTTCATGACGATTTTGACTGGTTTTAGGCTTGTTAAAGGAGGGTTCTATTGCATCTTGTTGGGTTCTGAACTGGCAAGAAGTAAAAGAAGAAGAGAAAATGCTAGAAACTGTGTGTATGAATTGATTAATCTCCATGTATTTTTATTCAAATTAAAAAGCGGGGTTTGGAAGTGCATTTTATATAGAGAAGAGGATGCAAAGGCTTGTGTCACTATAAATTGTCTTCTTGCATGTTGCGCTTGTTTCTAGGTTCATGTGAACAAACATGGTACTATGCCATTTTTGTAGGTTTCATGTCAGGGTAAATGAGGAGCGTTACGTTAGGTTAAATGTTGATGAATACTTTTTGAATTTTATGACACGAATTCCAATACATCTTTCATTAAGCCCCGTTTGATATCCACTAAAAAGAGTTTTTTTGGGAGAAAATGAGTTCGGATATATATATGTGTGTGTGTGTGTGTGAGATTAAAAAGTAAAAAAAAAAAATTAAGTTTGTGCGCAAAATATTTTATTTTGAGAACATATGGTTAAAAATGAGTTTTAAGAAAAAAGTGTTTTTGAAGAATAGCAGACAAACATGGACTAAGTCATGCAATGAACTAGTCAAAGTGACATAAAAAAGTTTTGAACTACATATTTTATGGATCCCACAACTTTTCAACCACATATTTCATCAATTTCTATCAAAATCTACTAGAAATTTAATTTTAATCCCTACCATACAGGGGCATATATTCAAAAAATTTCATCGATATACCTAAAAGTTTGTGCGCAAAATATTTTATTGTGAGAATGTATGGTTGAAAATGAGTTTTTTTTTTTTAAAAAAAAGTGTTTTTTGAAGATAGCAGACAAACATGGACTTAGTCATGCAATAAACTAGTCGAAGTGACATAAAAAGATTCGATTAATATTTAGATTTTAATCCAAGTCAAAGTCAATAATTCATTTCAACTATATATTTTACGGATCTCACAACTTTTCAATCACACATTTCATCAATTTCTAACAAAATTTATTAGAAATTTAATTGTAATCCCCTCAAACAGGGGCATATACATTCAAATTTTTTCATCAATATACCTAAAAGTTTAAGTTAACCCCCGCCCCCCCTCCCTCCCCAAAAAAAAGGGCTGAATTTTTAATGGTTGGAATAATTTATTATTATTTTTTTTTTTTAAGAATGTGTGATTAAAAAAAGAAGAAAAAAGTTCTAGAATTACATTTAATATTTATTTATTGTAGAACGTGTGATTGATAAGAAAAGAAAAAAACAATGAATTATAATTTTATCGCTGCCAAAGATGGAAACTTGCAAACTATAAGCATTTTTTCATCAAGTGTATATAAGTGGAATCTTCATAAATTGGTGACACAGATTTAAGCCCCTGTTTGACTATCATTATTTGGAAAAAAATAGATTTTTGAATAATGATTTTAAAGAAAATGCGTGATTAAAAAATAGGGAAAAATTTTGAATTTACGGACAAAGTATTTTATTGTATGAATATGTGATTAAAAATGAGTTTGTAGAAAAAGGAATTTAAAAATCATAGTTGTTAAATAGGGGTTTAATCTTGAAATTTGCCTACTGAAATAGTAAATTACAACTCGTCTTAAAGATAATGTTTTTAAAAAAATGGAAAAATTAAATATTTCTAGCTCTATAGGCTACAACATCTTTTTCCATAGTCAACCTGTCATTTCAGATGGAAAATCAAGACTCGCAACTTGTATTATTTGTATAATTGATGAAAAATATTTGTATTTACCCACGGGATTTGGCCCTACACTATTTTCATCATAGTTCAAATTAAAAAAATAAAATAAAAATCTTCTAACTTCTTGGGAAAACTTGCAAAATTTTGTTTTCGTCGAAAATTGTATAAATTTTTCTAGTACGTTGTGACTATGATTCTTGGGTACTGCCAACAACTCTCGAATCTTCTTGTTCGACCACAAAATAAGATTTTTGATCGAGCACTTTATCATCATAACATAAAATAAAACGGTTTTCATATTACTAGACTTGAGTTTCTTTGTTTTATTTAAATTATTATAATTTCAACTTTTCTCGGACTAGCTTGAGTAATACTACAAAAATGGGGAAATATAGCTTTATAGCTTATATAGAAGGATGATTTTCCAAATTAGCCTAAGAAATAAAAACATTTGAAAACTAGTCTCCAAACAACTAATTTTCCAAAAATACCCTTAATAGAGAAATTGCAACCAAAGCCACTACAATGTCTAAAAACCTTCAAATAAGTCCTCAAGAAAATATAGATCATAAATTTTTAATAAATCTAGATCCAAATATTATACAAAATTTTATTGATCTAAAAATTTATACAGAAAACGAATTAATCTATCTAGAAGAAGATCTGAAAGACTTCTTTATAGAATATTTAGACCCAAAAATAAAAAATAAAAATGATTCCATAGATAACGAAGCAATCAAAATGGAAAAAGACATATATAAATTAATTCTTAATTTAAGAAGGAGAATTGAAAAATTAAACATAATTATCCAAGAAAAAGTATTAATAAAAAATAGTGAATTTTATAAATTCTATTGTGACATTTTAAATACTTATGAAGAATCTAATTGGCTCAAAAATATTAACCCCTCCGCTGCACACTCCGACCAAATGGTATCAGAGCCATGTTACGAACCAAAAATTATGATGAATATAGTAGATGAAGAAAATATAATTGAAGAATTTTTGAAAAAGGTTAAAAAACATAAAAAACCTAGTTATCCCTATTTACCTAAAAACACTACAAATGAAAGTTTTGAGGATATACATAAAAGACTAGAAAATCTAGAATATAATCTACAAGTAGGAAATGCATTATTAGATAATAATCTTAGAGGAAAAGATAGGATTATAATTAATCCACCCCAAGATTTTAGAATAACAAAAAATAAAGGAAAAAAGCATGAAGAAAAACAATATATGATAACAGATGTAGAAGAAATAGAACAAAAATTCTTAGAATCAACAGGTGAAGA